AGTTGCAGTAAAGTTTGTCTGATGAAAAGAGGAAACAATCATAAATAAACTACTCTAGTGGTGCTCAAACTATTTTCTTGTCAGACCAGGGTGAGGTCACGGAAAGTGAGCACCAAGGTTCTATATGCAGACTACAACAGATGTATTGAAACCGATTTAATTAATAATAGATCATGATTTTAGGGTCATCAATAAATTACATAACGCTGAAGAGGGGGCAGGGTGGTGTGAGGCAGTGTTACACTGCGTTACATAGGGGTAGGATGGTCATAGTTTAGTGTTATGTAATGCTGATATTTATTTTTAAAATATTTCAACATTTTCCGAAATAATCCCTTTTATTCAGTCCTTATTTGAAAATATTACCATATTAACAAATTAAATTAAAAATATAATAAATTAATTCTATAAATTGTTATAATAACTGAAAATATTTTTCATCAATGATATATTGAATGATTATGCCTAATAAGCTCATGATACACCCTTAATTCTGCTCAGTGAATGTTCAGAATCACTTGTTATTTTCTTGTGTTTAAGAAGGAACTTCTTAAGAAGACAAAGTCATGTCATGCTGCGTGAAAAAATGGTGAAATTTTCTGAACAGTTGTGTCTGGAGAGCACAGGAAAAGTAGTAATTTACCTCCCCATGTCTTCTGTTGAACTATGTTCAATACGCTGTATCATCTCATGAGTACACCTTCCTTTATCCCTCTCTTGCCATTCTGCCAGGAGAAACGTCTGTGCTCTCCTCTTTATGTCCTGTGCAGAGGTCAGTCATGAACAGGGTCAGTGAGCTTCTTCACTTCGTTTTTTCTTTTTCTCGCCAACAGATCTATAGGGGTACACCAGCCAGAACCCCAACTGTGCTGTCAGAGACTGTGCAGTAAGCTGGCACTACTCTCTTGCCAATCTCCTTTGTATTCCCACGTACTTCAATAGCATGCAAGCTTTCCTGAGTTTGCCAGCCCATAACGGGGCAGCATGCAGCATTTGGGAACAAACAGTGTCTCAATATCAGCATATAAAACTTGGTTCGAATTTATCAACTCATAAGAAAGAGACATTTGAGGGATGTTGCGTCAGTGGCTATGGACACAAGTTTGTTAGGGGGAGACTGGCACAAGTTCGTGAGAAACAGATGTTTGGATGTAGATCAAGATATTTTAAGTGATATTCTGGTTTAAATTCTCTTACGTCTTCAAGAAATTAGAAGATTGGTGAAACCTTGGGGAAGGTATTTAAGTAATCAGTGGTTCTAGAATGCATAACAAGATATCCGAGGAAATGGAGCAGGTAATAGTTTGTCGATTGATGGTGGTAACCGGAATTCACAAACAATATATTTTCTTTATGTTGTAACACGGTGTTTTATTTATAATGACCTCAAGAGAGAGGCGGACGGACAGCGACATTAGGGAATTGAAAAACGGCAGCTGATTTTATTCAAGATACCAACGATCGCAAGCATCTACATGGTTGTGGGACATAAGTTCATTATATACTTGACAGACTGCACAAGCGACCATTCTATGCTTCCCCTGTGAACCTACCACATTTGGTATTAATCTGGAGATATTAGAACGTGTCTTTGCTGCCTTGTCCACCGTCTTGCTAATGTGCAGCCCAAAGATAAGCCTTTGGTCGATCTCGACTTCCAATTATGTTATTCGTCGTCTCCAGTTGATATTCACCTCTCCCAGTCGGATATTTGAGGAACGGAATGCTATCTGGTCCTTAACTAAAACTGTTAGTTTTCTCCTCAGCCATATGTAGGAGGCTCCTGTCAAGTCCTCATTTCACCCTAAACATCACTTTCATCTTCAGTGTGTAAATTTCATTGTATGGCAGTTAATGATGGTATCTTCTACATGTCCTATAAGTTGGGTGTCTAAAGGGGTGTCAATATGTAATAATTGCCATACATGACATTCCTTAATAATGGGCCCAGCATAGATGTTGGTTGCTACTCTTTCTCAGGGCAATAAATAGCTCCTCCCTTTCAACCCTGCAAATAGACACAATCTCCACACTATTTTTTAGGATCTACATCGGTCATTTTTTAATGTTGGAGTAGGTTTCCTCTTCTTCAGACGCCAATTTAATTGCCTGATTCAGTGTGTGGCTTCTCTTGGACCTAGCTGCATCTATTTCTTTCTTATGCTCTTTAGGAAGCAACCACCACTGTGTAGCTTCACTTGCTGCTTCTACTGCAGTTTCTTCTTTTGACTTGATTTTCCACTGGAAGACTAGGAGCTTCATTCTTCTTAGCCTCCCTCTGAGTAAGGACAAGTGTAACTTTTGAACTATTGCAGATTAGAACAGAGTATTACTGTTACCAGATTTAGTAATACCGATATAGTAAAAATGGATCATTCAGTAAAATGGTATAGACATCAAGCATAAATCATAGAAAGAATCCAATGGCCTACTAAAAAATATGATGTAACCTAATTCTTACCTTTCAATTTCATCATTTGCTTGCAATTGTTCAGCCTTAATTAGTGCTTTATCAGTAATCTCCTTAGGAATTCCAGCTAAACGCGACACATTCACTCCATAACTATGACTTGCTTTTCCCGTTTGCACAACGTACAAAAATGTCAATAATTCTGATTCTGATTCTTTACCTACAAAAACAGTGATAGGGGAGATAAACGATAATAATACATTGCATCATTTATTAGTGTTTTAAAGAAGCAAATGCACTTTTTTGTGTTCATGCGTGAACCATGCATGCAGAGTATATGCAACAGAATCATACATACCAAATTTTGAAATGTGAAATCCCATAGAAAAATTGTAATGTGGAACAACATCCATTACTGATGGAAAATGGGTGATGAACAAGGTCAAGCACTGCACCTGGTCAGAGCAAATTCAATTTTTAACTACTAATGTGTACATAACTGAATAAATATGGACATTTTTCAAAGAACATGATTGCTACAACAATTGAAATGAAGGCAGTATAACAAATTTAATATAAGATAAATGATAAACGAAATAATTGTAGAGTTTAGGTAATCCATTTGGAAACATTTTGCATCAAGTGAATGTTTATTTTTGAAGAGGTTTAAGTGGGTAACATGAAAATAACAACAATTAAGAGCCATCTACGAGACATAAATTGTACTTCATACCGTATGGAAAACAAATAGGATCGACACATTATAGTACAATTTTTGAAGGTTAGTACCTTTAGGCTCAAGCCCTTCAGTTACAAAATTAAATCCAATTTTGGGTGGCACATTCTAATATATTAATAGTATTTTGTTCAGGTGTTAAGTGACTGTCCGAATTAATGTCATTCTGCACACTTATGACGACTATCTTAATTGGTCAGTGCCCTTGTATGGTGTCCAACTATGCAGTCACATCAACAAACCTCCCATTAGTGACATTAAAAACAGATGAAACTGAATAGTTGGAGGGTAACTTCCTACTAAGAATGGAGGAACACTTCCTACTGAGAATGGAGACCACAGCTGTCAGCTAAAATTAGTACCTACTTGTTTTTTACACTCCGTGGGAATGTCTTTGTTGTCATTGGGCTAGGATGCTTTATGTGTTTTTTGATTTGATGTGCTTCCTAGCTTGCGTTCGTTTGTGTCAGTGACGGTCAAGCAGGGTTGTGGGTATATGAAAGGCGAGGAAATTCTGTTTCATAATCTTAAACAGTAAATTTCTTTTGAGTTTTGACAGATGTGGTGTTTATGTCTTCCATGCAGACACTGGTGCAAGGCTGGGAAGATTTTCAGTGTGGCTAATTTGTGACCAACTGTTTGTGTAATGGAAAACCTTTTACAGTCTTCGAATATCTTGATCTAAATTATTTTTTAAATTATGTGTCATGTCTTTCAGGAGGTTGGTATTGAGTGTGCATTATTTACATTGAAAAACTTATTTACTTAATTTTTCTATTCTAAATTAATTAAAATTTAATTACTTTTGTCATCTTTTAAAACTGAGATTACATAGCTCATTTCAATATCAAGCATTTGGTTAATCATTATTTTGAACAACAGTGTACTGATTTTTCCCATCTTGGAATATCTATATTTGAGTAAATACAAGTTGATCCATACTTTGTTTATCAAATGAGATAAAGTAGCAGCAGCAATTGCAGCACCATCATGAGAACTGGTGCCTCTCCCCAGCTCATCCATTAGCACCAGAGATCGTCTTGTTGCCTTGTGGAGAATTCTGGAACTTTCTTCCATTTCCATCATGAGAGTACTTCGTGCTTTAAAAATCTCATCTTGAGCTCCTATCCTACAAAACAGCATTACAGAGGGGAAAAAAGAAAAACCTAAGTACAAAGAAATTAAAACTTCAATGAAAAAATAATCCTTAAAATACATCACTGCAAGAGTTAAGTAAACATTAACTTGAAAGGGTAAACATATTTATAACCATTCATTTTCATATTAATCTTGAAAAGACAATTTGTAACTCATCGCAAATACTTAAAATCTTATGTTAAACACTATCATGCAAATGATTCTTACTTAAATTTGTATTTAAAAAATTAAAATGTTTGATTAAATCAATTGGATATTGACTACTCAAAATTTTCAATTGATTAACCCTTTCAATCCCATAGTAGCCATATGGCTACATCACTATTATACCTCTTAAATATAATTTTAACCAATAACCACAAATTGTGTGCATTTCTGTAACTTATTTGAATCATCTAACATATAGAAGATATATATTTCTTCTGTGGATATCTGGAGTTGTTTCTAATTTTTGTTGAATTTCTGAGATAAATGTATCTTCCATTTTGAAGAATAGGGTTTGTTTACAGTACAGATTATCACAATATATGGATTTATTTAAAAGCTTGGGAGATATCTGAATGAAAAATATGTTGTTACCATATGGCTACAACGGGCAAATTTCATATCTATCATATTCATATCTATCGTAATTGCGTTATTCGTATCTTTCGTAGTTGAGCAAAGATGTTTTATTATTATAATAAAGGCTTGAATAAATGTATAAATGACAAATACACCCAATAACTTGGTCTCTTCTTTGATGTAACAATGAGTATGACATCAGTGATCTGTTTTCCAGTCAAGATGATAAGACTGTCATTACTAGAGTAAATTATTGAATTCTGTATTGATGCCAAATGAAAATAATGAAATTCTCAAAATGTACAGTAACATAGTTGAGGGAAACATTATGTTCAAAAACTTAGGAAAGGTACATCATGTTTCAGATCACAGCTAATAAACATAAATTCATAGGTTGATATTTGTTTACATCTATTTTTCACCTAGAGAAAGAGAACGTAAAAATACATAAATGGAATAATGTCTGAAAGAAATAAATGACATTTGTTGATAAAGAAAGTCGCATCGACCAGGCACACCAGAAGCAGTTCAAACATTTCTTGTTAGAGTAAAACTTAGCAAAATGTCAAAATAAACATTGCCAGGTGTCTTTTCAAGGATTAAACGATTAAAATGTTGTGAATGAAGCCAATTTTACTGATTTTATTTATATTAGAATATAATATATTGAAGTTCCCTATGTGCCCACTGTAGCCATGTGGCAACATTTCATAAAAATAAACAAAAGTGCATAAAATGTTAAAAGCTTGGTCTTCTGATGTTCCCCTTTAGCAATTACATGCCTTAAATATTTTATTTCTTCATAACAAATAATTTGAGACTGAAAAGGTTTTAAACGTTTTGGGGGAGTCAAGAATAGAAATACAATACCCGAAGGTTATACCTGGTATAAATTGCATCCAATGTTCCTATTGTAGCATATTCAGCAGGCACATATGAACCAATAAGAGCCATTATTGCTATCAGAGCAACTTGTCTCACATAGCAAGATTTTCCACCCATATTAGGGCCAGATAACACCATGCACAAGTTTTCTGGACACTTAAAAAGACATTACGTAAAGTAAATAAAATGAATATAAGTTGATACAATATTTAAATTAACTCTACAATCACCATAATAAGTACTTTCAAAGAACATGTTCCTATGTATTCTGCGTTCATTTCAAGACAAGAAATTAAATATTGGTTATCAATAATTTAAAATTATTTGATATTCATTACATTACATAAAATAATTCAACACAACACTATAATGAGATAGTGCATCATTTATTGAATTCTTACCTACCTCTAGGTATGTATTATTGGGTACAAAATCATTTACAAACTTTGAAACAATGGGATGCTTTCCTCTCTGAATATTTATAACTATATCATCATCAACAAGTTCTGGTCTGTGAAATAAAAAAACAGTAAAAATACTTTTCTAATAATGAAATTCAATTCAAAAATATTTTGACTACATTCTTCTGGGCATACCTGCAATATCCATCAGATCTAGCAAGCTGAGAGAGTGCTATCAAAGCATCAAGAATTGCTATGTTTTTCACAGCTTTCTTGTGATCAGCATAAAATACATTGAAACAATCAATAAAGTCTCTCCACGAATTCTGGCACTCTTGTTTAAGTTGAGCTTTTAAAATATTCAATTCTGTACGCAAAGGCAATACCTCTGACGTGTGGTACCTACTAACATGCTTGGTCCTGAAGACAAAAAAAAATTATTAACATATTTAACTTACACCTGTGATTACGTCCCAAAAATACTACGAGTTCGAGGTAATTATTTGGCTGCAAAGACAAATTTCCCAGGATCCCATTAAAACCAGAGATTTTCAAAAATTAAATTATTCATTAGAAGGCAGTATAACTCATGTTATAATATTTCAATGTTGAATACAATTGAATTTACGCAAGAAAAGAAGCATATATAGAAAAATTGATACAGATTTCAAAACTTAAAGACATTTAAGTTGTCAGTGCTTAATAACCATGTATAAAATGTGATCAAAACCAGTTCCAATGAACAAATGAAGCTGCTGGATAGATTACTGAAGTAAACAAGGTTTCTTCTATTTGTTCAAGTGAACTCATCTTTCAAACTTTTGGTTAGGACTGTCCTTTACCATGAAATATCTTATCTGTGTTTAGTTATACTGAAATCGGCTGAACTGACTCTGGTGCTCATAGTCGTCACAGCAACCTTAGAACTGCTGACATTACAATTTCTACGCAAAGAAATCGAATAGGCTACTCAGGAATTCTGTAGAGAACATTTGTTGCACACTTAAATTTCTTTTTGAGGCAAATTCCATTAAAATGATATTAAAAATGATGAAATTAGCAAAAAATGCATTAAGTGACAAAAAAAGAAGAAAAGAAAGACTTATTAGTTGAAATCGATGAAAAATGCAACAAAAAATACATAAAATAGGTAGTTTTTTTGTCATACTATAAAATTAATTTCTTTACGAAATGGCATTTTTCTAAAATGAAAAAAAGACATTTCATTACAATACACCCCTACTTATGTATAATGTAATGTTACACGATGTATGGGAGCATAATAAATTCGCACACACTTGCAGTGCTAATTTCACCATTATGCACAGTTGATGGCCACAGGGCCAGTGAATCATGCAGTATCTGAAATTTCATTAAAGCACATTTTGCTACCGTATTTTTCTCTTCAACAGTAATTTCGGCCAAGAGAAGGGGTCGGATTTCCACATGATAAAGAGTTTTTGCATGGAAACACAAGTTTATTTGCATTAACAAAAACATTCAAGAGAAAAAAATATACTTACTCATTAACTTTAATCCAATTATCTGGAACACACTGCTTTACTTTTACCTCTGTTAAGTAATCCACTCCATGAACACTAGTATATTTTGCAGTTCGAAGACCAATTTTTTTGGCAATATCTGGTAATAACTTGTCAAGCTGATTTTCAACATTTCTAATTTGTGTTTGAAGATTTAGAACTGCAGGAAAATTTGAATAATCATTCAGAAAATTGGTGACATCTCCTTTCCTGTAAAATACATACATGAGCAGTTTTTACAAAATTAATCAATGTATGCAATTCAATTTTGATTACTCATGCATGGACAAGCAAGTTCAAGTTTAATAAAAGACTACAGTGAATATAAAATGAAAGTTGACTTCAGATTTAGTCTTTCAGAATTCAATAAACTATACAGTACTTTTGAATATTTTATTTGAATATTTTTAAAATAAATACATAATTTATTCTATTTGCAATATCCCTTGAGACTTTAGAGTCATCAATAAATTACATCCCACAAATTTGGAATATTTTGGATACTCCCTCTCTCCTTGTAACCCACTGGCAAAATGTGCTTGAACCCCATTAATAATAACAAAATGGTTGGTCAATCCTACCTGCTTGCATTCCTAAAAGAAAAAAATAAATTATTGGGTCGTGAACTTTTTGTTTCTGTTGTAAATCTACATCTGAATCCATCAGTGTTTTATCTGGGATAACCCAAGGCTTTCCTAAACTGTAGTCTTCACTGTAGCCCATAACCTGGGTCCCCTATTATTCAGAATTTTTATAATGTTAGTGAAATTATAAGAATGTTTAAATTCTTCTCTTTGCTGATAACTTAAAAATGTTTAAATTGTTAATAATAAATTAAGTAAAAAAAGTTCATTAAATCTCTTCAAGGTGAAGTTGTGTTACTGGAATCACTAAATAAATTTGTGAAATGTTGCACAGATAACAATCTTAATTTAAATCCTTTTAAATGTAAAACAATTTCTTTCTCTAGAACTAGAACCGTAATTAAAGGGGAAGAACAAAAATTGATCAAACTATTAACTCTACAAGTATTGAAAGAGTATCAGCTATACACAAATTTGGTGTTTTTGAGAACATTCTATTTAAGAAAAAAATTTCCATTTCAAATATTGTACTTTTGCAATGTTAACTTTTTGCAGTTTTTTAAAGTAAAGAGTTCACCAAAAATGGGACTACCACAAATTTGCTTACATCTTTAATACATAATGAAAGTAAATTTAAAGGAAAAATTTAAGCCGTTTACAGAAAATAAGTGTTTAAAAATTACACACACGTTAAAAAAAAAATCGCAAAATTATACAAAAAGAACTTGTATTTTTAAAAAACTGTTCATGACCTAATTTCAAGATGTCTTTAGGGAACAGATTTCATTAAAGAAAAATCTCTCTCTTCCATTTTCAAAAAATTGGAGATTTTAACAAACATGAGGCCTACACTATTCTTATAACCATCATTTTTTATATCTGAGGAGGAAGTTTAATCCAAATATTTGGAGAAAATTACGAAAATGATTTTAGGCTTCCTGTAAAGTAGCCTCTAAAATCAAAAAAAAATATGTTCATACTTGCAGAACCAGATAGATTAGGGAATATCAATTTTGAAGAAAATCAACAGAATGGTTTAGGCACTTGCGTTGACCATGGACAGATGAAATTAAGAAATGAAGAAAGGTCCCATCTCAGCATTTGCTAAATGGGTTGAGGGAAACTCGTTGAAAAACCTGATCCAGAATCCATCACAAATATTTAGTAAATCTAATGTACATAAATACCCATAGTTCTTTTCACAAGTTTCACAGCCTTTAGGAATTGCTAGAAGAAAAAAAAAGGTCAAACATACCTTGCAGCATCTTCATTCATGTTGTTCAAGAACTGGAGGATGTTAGAGAGAAGCGAAGCAGATTCTGTTATAAGGTCTCTTAAGAGAGGGCTGCTTATAACTACATCTGAAGCACCAATTATTGCTTCCAGTCGTAACTTCAAAGCCCTCAAATTTTGAAGTATTATATAAACAGATGATGGAGTGGACTGTCAAACAAGAGTCACTCATTAATTCAATGTAAAACGCAATAAATTATACAAAATATGTTATTGCAATTAATGAGAAAAATTAAAGCTGTTTATAAGAAAAAAATATTTATTAATTTTTCGAACAATTTTTTACAATAATGCTAAAAACATAATACCCATGCAACCTGATTAGCAATTTCTGAAGTAGGTATTTACAGTGATTCACTTAAAAAGTAAATGTTATCACTTTTACCAAATAGATCATAAATAAAAGAGTTCATCCAATGACTGTAGAAAATCAAATATTGAATTATGGAAATTAAAAATTGCCTTTCTGGATGAGATAAATGAGATATTGAAACCTAGTCTCTCATATGCTTAAGTTAAATTCAAACAAACTATTTAAAACAACAATATAATTTAGAGAGCAAAATTATTTTCCGCAAGTAACCTGGCCTCACACAAGCTTGACAAGTGAATGTTTGACATACACTCAAGTGATTTAAGAATTAAGTTTAAGTCTAAACTCTCAGAGACCTTTTAAAGAATCGTTTTGAAATAATTTTCATCTTAATGGAAAGGCCTTAATGTAATTTACTTACAGAATTTTGTAGAATGCAAATGTAAAATTAGTTCACCTAACACTTGCCACTGCTAAAATAAAAGTACAAACTGACTGCATAACATCAAAATGAAGCTTTTTTTTTTAACTTGGGGAGGGAGCTTTAAACCTCGAGCCCTCTTAGGCTCATGCTATGTCCAAAGCAATTTCAAATTGCTCCCCAAAACCAATTCAAGAATAGTTCATAGAGTAAGCTTTTATTCCGAATTTTGCCAATTTTTATATCATATAATAAAATAATAATTTTATAGCCTCACCCTTCCAAGTAGAATTGCAGTAAGACCGTGTTCCAGGTCTGGTATCTTTTGTAAAATGGAGTGCAGTTCCACCACACTTTTGGAGGAGCAGTGAAGAAGTTCCGCAACTGCATCTTGTCGTCTTCGTAAAGTTTCAATATCACGAAGTGGTCGTGAAAGCCATTCTCGCAATACTCTTGACCCAAAGCGAGGATGAGCATACTGGTCAAAAAGCCAAAAGAGGCTGCCATGATGTGTTTCACTGGATGATTTGAATATTTCTAGATTTCGGATTGTGGCACCATCTAACTGAACATAAAGTTCGTTTTTTGAGAAGTGCTGTAAACTGCAATAAAAGAAGAAATGTATTTACAATTTTTTTATGAGGTGATTTTTTATTTTCTCTCGTGTTTTGTGACACTTAGGAATATGGTCTTCGATCATTTACCCACACAGACAGCTTTACTTATTTTTCTCAGTTTCTGCAAGTTTGTGGGAATCCAAAACAATCACAGATCAGACAAACGACAAGTAAATAAATTTATTTAAAATATATACTCCTCAATTTGTATATGATGGTAACATGCTGCCTGAAGTGCTGTTTTTAATGTCGGATGCTTCAGTTACTTGTAGAAGAAAAAATCACTAGAAAAATCGCTTCATCGTCGCTTACCATCTTGAAGAATGGAATGTTAATTACAATTTCTTACAGGGTTCATTTTTGTTCTTTTTTATCTGTGGTTAAATCAAGAGTACTAATTAGTACTGAAAGTAATAAGGATCTTCAAGGAACAAAATGGAAAACAAATAGTTCCATGGTGCATGTGTGTGGCTGCAAGACAACAACAAAGAGCTGCACTTGGCAAAGTAAGCACCTATCAAAATAATGAAATTTTTAAATAAATGCCCTAGTTGGATAACACCCATTCACCACACTTTCACTGGTTACCCTGGACACTGTTTCTTGGCTGTGAGCACCTTCGACCACATCACACACATGAAAGACAAATGTCCAAGCTCATGGTGGAATTGCAACTTTCAACTCTTAGACAGAAGTTGTATAAGCTCTAATCAACTAAGGCATAAACTTATAAATATCCCTGAGAAGGACAAACGAACACCCACCACATGCAAATAAAAATTGTTAAAAGTTGACACGTAATTTAAAAAATTGAAATTGCAAAGCTTATATTCTAAGAATAAACTTTTAAAATCTCTTTTTAAACAGAGGTTTTTTAATAAGTAGAAAATAATATTTTAAAAAATTATATAAAAATTGAACAATGTACCTGAGCATTCATGAAGTTCAGTGTTCACAAAAATTATACAATTACTTCATGTCAAAGAAAGGAACTGCAAAAGTCAATGAATCCTCCATTCCTAGTACATGCAAAAATTTCACGAAAGAAAAATCTTTTCTTGTTTCTCTAAATGTAAATTTCATTACAGAATACACAAAAAATGTTCTTTCACTTACTTTTCAGGACGTAAAGTCTTATCAACATTACAACTTTTAAGATAACTTAAAAGGGCACTCAGAGAACATACAACTGGTGCTGGTAAGTTTGTAATTGATTCAGTAGGACCCGTTGCTTTGGACAAAAAAGCTGCAGTTTCTATTAAGGCTGCTGAGAAATTAAATTTTTCTTCTGGCAATACTTCTAAGCGGGCTTTACTATAAAATAAAGCAATCACTTTCTGTGAACAGGAAACAAATTAAATATTTTTCAAAACAAATCATGTGCATTTATATACCTATGTTTCAATACAATTGCAGATGAGGAAGACAGTTTTTCTGGAATAAGAACTTCAGCTGGTGTCAAATGTTCGACTCTTTTTTCTAATTCTTCACGAGTTGGATTGTCCACAAAATGATCAAAATAAGCTTCCCCTGAAGCTACATCAAATGCCTAAAATGTTTTTAAATAATCTTTCAAAATCCAGATACCACCTGTTGATTTATTTCTTACATGAATGATTTACTTCTCTCATGAACACTTACCACAAGACCTATATTTGGTTTGGAAGGATTACCTTCCACTTCTGCAACACACAGAATGAAATTGGCAGAGGCCTCTTCACTACATATATTAACAGACTGGTTCAAAGGGTCTATCTGTGTTAAACATTAAGGAATCATTTGTTTCAGTATAAACTTACAAATCTAATACACCTTGACATTAATTTTCAGATATTGTACCCTCTTCTGTAATCTATAATGAATTACCCTGTTCATGAGGGTCCGTCTGAATCATCAATATCTGAAAAACTAAATTGATAAGTTCAAATTGTCTATTATAGAGGATACATCACTTATTCACACCTTAAAACACTTTTCCTTTCTTCTAAGGAGAAAAAATAGATTGTTTAGAAACAAAGATAATTTGTGAAGTTCATAAAGAACTTAAAAACCTCTTCTGTATATTTTGAGCCTCCATTTATATCAGCATCCTTGACACAATCACTGTTGGTAACTAAAAGTGACCCTACAAAAGATAAACTTTCTTGTAATATCTGTCAGGTAAAGTTTCAATAAATTTGCTATGTTCTACTCAAATTTCACCCAATCTCACAATTCTTTTACCATCACTTTGCTTAAAACACCCAATATTCAATTAAATATAAGAACATGTTCTAACACTGACATATTTCCCACGGAATAAGTGTCCTGTATTCGCAAATATCACTTCAATGAAAATCCTGGTTACACCCATGACGTATATATGATCATTAAAGGGAATTTCAAAATGAATTAATTTAGTTATTACTACTGCAATACTGATACTGAAGAAAGTACTTAATCAAAAAACACCTATTGTTTTCACATTTACATTTAAAATTACTAATTAACTGTTGATGGGATGTTAGCTAATGAAACTTCTTTAATTTTATTTAGCCATCATGAAAGAGCATTTATTGTTCTCTCATCAGGGCTATAATTATTTCTTGTGATTATTAAAGTGAGATTCATTATTTATAACATTACCTACGATCATTTTATACGACAGTCTAGACTGAAAAAGCAATTTTATTAAGAAAAATTTTACACACATCATATTCACATCATTGTTTAACCAATGATTCAAGAATTTATGATATTGAGCTTGAAATCAAAGAAGCCACATTTTAGCGCAACTTTTGTAATTTCAATTCTTTTAAGCAGATATATCCTTTTACATTTGCGCTAGTTTTACATAAATTATCTCTGCACATTTCACTAAAGAGAGTGCGAGAGTCTGCATCTGCGCGTGTGTGTGAGAGTGTGTGTGTGTGTGTGTGAGTATGTGTGCGAGTGTGTGAGTGTGTATATTTATTTATATTTATATATAGCTAAACTCTATAACTTTCAGGCAGCAGAACTATTCCTGACTAAAAAAACAACAAAACAACTAACTTTTCACTAAATTAACACAAATGATACAATTTTTTAAATAATCAACACAATAAGTTAATTAAGACTTCACTAAAAATAAGATGTTTTCAACCTCGTTTTCTGAATCCTGAAAAAACAAGTGAGTAAATAAAGAAAAATACTGATATTCATTCAAGAAAAGGATATCTTCTCCTATTGCTGTTCCTTTTGTGTAGATGGCAGTTAATTCTCTATCAAACACTTTGTTCTTGTTGTCACTAATTGCTTTCAATTCAGCAACTTCTTGCTGCTGAATCACTCCAACTTTATAACCTATGCAACCAATTAAATTTATGTAATTTTTTTACAATCACAATATTACATAATAATGAACTTACTGCAATATCTACTGAAGAGAGTTAAAGTTGTTCTGCAAGACTTAAATGATACTATTTCATGGATGACCAACATCCCAATAATTGGGCCTTGGCAACGAGCTATACTGTTTTAAATCTAATTTTTATCAGTCAAATATTGATAAAAAAATCGTAATTTATAGCCTATTTTGCAATACAATGTACTCACAAAATGTAGGCATTCATTTCAGTTACTTAAAGAGCTGGACGCTACGAGCAGTTTCAAAATAAAAAAGTTAATAGGGGAAGCAACATGTAATTTTCTGATGTATGATGTAATATAAAAAAAAAGTAAAAACACCAAACAGGGAATGTATAATGTTGACTATTTCAACTAAATTTATACAAAACAGATGGCTATTCATTTTTGCACATTATAATGTATAATATATTGCAATAATTATATTGTTAAGCTGAATCTATTACATAATTCCTACATTCCTGAGATTGAATAATAAAGTTTGAGAAAATGGACCATGGTGGAAACAAGGATTTTTGCAGTTGTTATTTATGGTTTAAAAACACTGCATAAAAAGATTTTTCAGGTATATCATCCCCATAAGCAATAAAAAGTTAAAAACTGAATAGGTTGCTCTGAAATGTGTTGCATTTGGAACATCTGGCAGTACAAATTAATAATTTTTGTGGCTGGCAATTCAATTCTGCAGTTTGAGTAATCTTGGGGATGGATAGTTGGTAACAGAAATTAAATTTTCAAAATACACCATGTAGCAATGAGTACTGAGAAAATGATGGGTTTAAAAATCTAATATTAAAGAAAATATGTTCTACTTTACATATTAGTTATTAAAATGGAAGTTTTTTTGCCCAGATATTTTTCTTGGGCTACCCAATTAATATTAAATATTATGCTGGTTGGGATGAACAAGCAATTTAAATCATTTCAAAAGTTATGTTATTGGGAATTATTTATAAATAGTAAATTAATATGCATTACTTAATAAAATAATATTTAAACAAGTATTTACGTATGTCTATAAAGAAATTATATTGTTATGATTATATAAATTGAAACATGAAATTATGATGTATGAAACTCGGTCCTCGTGAACAGAAATTTTCCAAATTCGCCTTCTGCTGGCCCTAGTTACCAATTGTTTGTCAAAACACACACAAATTGTCTACTTATAGCAAATTAAAATGTGTAAATCTCGATTGTCCAACCATCATAATTTACCATAATTTTTTAATCATTTAATTTGCTCAATTTAGGAATTCAAATTAAAAATTAAGATTCTAATTTGTTCATTTACCAGCCTCCACTAATTTTCGAGCATGTACATGTAGTCTTTCCACAGGGAAACTACTTCGCATGAAATTGTGGTTTGGATACATTTCAAGCCTCAACACTCTTGATGCAACCTGCAAAAAATGAGCAGAGAAACAATTTTTGCATTTTCTTCATAGAATATAAAATATTGAACTGTATGAGAAAAATATTTTCTACAGCCAGTCAAAAACATTTCATACAACCCGCACATTTGACAAATATTCTACTCTAATGTTAAATTATTAGGAGTCAGTTTTTGCTTCATGATCACAGTAGTCTCCTTGTTTATTAAGTTATTACTGCTTATAAGATGCTTTAACAATGACTTTGATAGTAACTAACGCTCAGAACTAAATAGCAAAAACATCTTACAACATACCCACTGTGGTCAGTCCATTGTACACATTTCAATGAGATAATATTTACACATATGTACGAGGACAGTCACAGTGAATGTGGGAAAAACATTGGATTAGTAAGAAATATTGGATTATATTTCAGAATGATTAGACAATGAACGTATAGTGGTTTATTAGCAATATCAATCTCAAAAAGAAAATATTACAAATAATCCTCCAAACCAAAATCAATCATTTGGAAAATTATCAATATTTACCTCTCATCTGAACACTTCTTAAAAGATTGTCTGAAATTTGTTCATACCTCTGCATCTTCTCCATACAAGTAATACTTATAACCACTTTGTATTATCAGAACCATTCCTGGATGTTTGTGTCTCAATTGTAAAATTTGTTGCTCAAAAGGAGTCAGTTTGGGGCCTTGTGTTTCAGCTGCAACTCTAGTTTAAAAATACAAATAAGAGTTATTAATAAAAATTGCATAAAATATCTCTTCCAAGTCATGTCGACTGTTCTTAAAGAGGTCATTGACGAAACATTTAACCACTTCAACAAGCTGTCACTTACTCTAACTGCTTCTTGGTTTTGGCTGAATTTGTAGGTTCATTGTCAGATCGCCGTTTTCGGGCAAATTTACTCAGTGTTTCTTTCGTGCTACTGGTAGCAGAATCTACTTTAAGACGTTTAGACTCCTAGTGAGAAATAAATAATCAGATTACGAAATAATTTAACGCTGAACACCGCATTAATTAACAAATACCTCATTCCCATGTTGCGAAGTTGTTGGTTGTTGTTGTTCGAAATAGCTGGTAATTTTTTTAATTCGCTGAGCTGACGGATTCTTTCTTCGATACTTTACAAATAGGGGATTGAACATGATTCCAATGGCACTAACAAACTTAATGACACACACTTAAAAAAATCATCAATCTTTCTCCCATGCAAACATAGTTCTAAAACAAATTTTCAATAACTTAATGAGAGCGTCAGAAATGCCTTGACTCTAAAAAAAGGAATAAAAAGGCTGAAGCAAAAATATATAACGGTAATAATATTTATTTGTATCTAAAACTGATCATCGACAAGAGGTTATGTTCTCCTGGGTTCTCTTCCTCTTGATTAATGAAATCTAGCGCTTCGCGGAGATGTCCACAACACGTGTTTTTCAGAGGAGGTGAGGGCAGCACTATCGCTACTGGGACCCAGAGTCTGGGCGGCAAGTGACACATGTTGGAAGCTGCATGTTAAGGGGGTGAAGGGTTCGGTATTAAAAAAAGTAGATTGCTATATGTGTTGATTTTCTTTCTTTCAGTTAAGATTGGTTGAGATAATTCTTCGTTGGTACCCTATAATGATTTAAAAATGGTTTTGTTTCGTGAAGGTACACTTTCTCGAAGTGAGATGATCTTTTTTCTCCAGAGGCGAATCCGAGGGCCCTGGTGCAGAAAGTCCAAATGAGACCCGTCATTGTTATTGCCATTTGTCTATATTGGGTATCGACGGGTATCTTAATTGGGATCCTTGACTTTGGGCGCCGTGCACCAATCTAGCTCGCACTGTTCTTTCTTAAGTTGTATTTACATCGAAAATCATTTTGGGCGTGGAGTTTTCAAAACAGACCGAAGCCACTTAAAAATTTAGAAATAAAATCTATATAATTTAAAGTTTTTATTCTTCTTTAACAACGTTTTTATTGCGACGTCTAGAAAAATTATATTTTCTCCATTTTTAGGCTAAAAGGAATTCAGCAGGAATAATTTTAGAGAACTTTGAACTAAATTTAATGTTACAGGCGTTAAAATACACCAAAAAACTTGATAGTTTTATAATAAAATAATAGCACTCGATTTAAAACAATATGAGGAGACTTACCATTAAAAGAAATTAATATTGAAACGAAGAAGTTTCTTTCATTTATTTAAATAATAATAATAATAATAATAATAATAATAATAATAATAATAATAATAATAATAATAATAGTAATAGTAATAGTAATAGTAATAGTAATAGTAATAGTAATAGTAATAGTAATAGTAATAATAATATTTAATCCTACCGCTCTTGCCACAGAAAAATAATTTATTTATTTGAGCACATCCTGCCCATGTTGTGGAGGGAACACACAAGCGAAACTCCGAGCAACATGGTGTGTGTGAGTGAGGGGGGGGGGAGAGCATCGGATATGTGTTCAAGTCACCTCTAAAAGCAATTCTTCACAGACAGTCTGCATCTGTACGTCTTGTCCCTTGTCGCACAGTACCCTGGGACTGTGTTCCAACAAGATAATACACGCTTACACACGCACGTGTGTCTAAGAGGACTGCCTAGAGCATGTTGATGTTCTTTGGCCAGCAAGATCCCCGGACCCAGGCGCAGTACCAATCAGCAGGATCTGGGGGAGCAGCTGCAACAACTGTGGACGAATTAGCCTCAAGAGAGGATCCAAAAGCTTTTTGACACCATTCCGCACTTCCAAAGGCGGGATGCCGGATCTTTTATTGGAGGGCAAATTTGGACGCTATTATAAACACTAAATATTAGTTTATATTAAGGCTTTAAGTTAATTGTGCTACAATTATATACAGTTTTCAATTTTGATAATTATTTTATTGATTATTATTAATTAGATTAGTTACGCGATAAGTACTCAAATTTTCGAAAATTGTACATGACCCACAAAACGGATTCTGGATTCGCGTGTTAGAGGATTATTTTTCTAAATTTAGAACTGTCTTTATCGACTTGTTCATTCACCGACAATAAGAGTTTTTCTGCCGAAAATTAGACTTTTTTTCGCGTAGCATTACATAATTTTCTCTCTACACCATAGCAAAAAATAAATAAAGATTTTTTCTTCAAATGTATTTTTTCTACACAATTAGACCTTTAAATACAGTCTCGCATATTATTCAACAAATTTAGCAGTTTTCGGGCAATTTGGAGTAAAATTTGGCAATATTAAAAAATATCGAAACATTTCTCGAAAACGTCTCTAAATTTTTTCTTCAAACTTTTTGTAAGGATAGTACTAAATGCAGCTGCGTAGCGTAGGTGGGGGTGGTAGGGGCGGCCCGCCCCGGGCGGCACTTTTAAGTGGCAACAAATGTCACAAAAACTCGAGTGCCCAGTGGAAATCAATGACAGAACTACACGCGAGCGAAGAGAATGTATCTGATAACGGTCACTACGTAAAAAAATATGTAAGTAATGTTTCAATAAAAACTTTGACCAAACTTAGTTTTATTTAATTTTCATGATTTTCTTACGTTTTATTACATATTAGTGTTATGAATTATGGTAATTACATTTCCATCATTCGAGGGAGCTATAAGACCGTTAGTTGGGGCACCAGCCAATGAATTCAGTCGTCAAAATTTGAATTTCACACAGAATACTTCAGAAAAATTAGTAGTTCGGATAAAAAGTGTACTTTTTTTGTTTTTTTAAATAACCATACATTTATTGTTAAATTCTTGAAAAATACGAACATTTTCGAGACTATGAACCTTCTGTTTTTTCCTAATTATTAAAGTTTTTTTTTACTTTAATAATTCTCTCAATAATATTAAATACAATTTTCTAAAAGAAATATTTAAAAAGCCGACAGTTTATAAAACGGATGGAGTCCTTTCTTATCCCCTCCTAGGGGCCCGAAATTCGTGAAGTTATCGCTTTTTTATATTCAATGTGAAGTATGTAGATTAATGGGGACTTCAGTGTAAACAACAACCTTTTATTGAGCATTTGTTCACAATAATTCCGATCCACTTATTTCATTACAAGCCAGTTCATCACATTGTAGAAAACAGAGTTTGCAGCAGTCTTCGTACCCAGACAACGTTCCTAATTACAGCACTGCTCACTACTCTTCAATAGACTAACTAGTGGTGCTACAAAATGAAGAGACTTTCTTGTACTAGTTAATTTCTTAATTGCTTTGGTCTGAGCCAACTTTTTGGTCTTTCCCCATCCTCTTGCCAGCTACCACCCAAAGTATTTTTTTGTAATTTTCTCAATTTTTCGGCTTCTTAATGGTAGAACTGAAATAATTAGAAGAGTAAAACCTCATCGTAAATGCATTTTTAGTTGATGAATTTGGAGCCAATTTATTGAAAATATCGTTTGAGCGTTTCTGAAAATGCGCTATGTTAAGCTTATTTTCACCTAAAACTTTTGAGTTTTCGAGAAACTTAATAAGAATGCATTTGAAAAAAATGATGCTTACAAAATACAATAATGCATACAAATTGCTTCAAAAAGTGTTAAGAGGGAGTAATTGACTACATATTAGAACAGGATTTATTCACTATTTCAGTATCAGAGCACCACATTACGAGTTTTTCTGTTAAAAAATCGCCAACCATACAAAGCATATCCGTGTAACTTCTATTCATTTTCTTTTTAACATATTTAGATTAATTTTCTCCTTCACAATGTCTAGCCTGAAGATGGAGAAAAAGGAATTCTCCATCGCTCTCAAAAGGTGAATAAACTTTTTATTATCTTTAAACTGTCGGTCAATAAAAACTCTGTGGCCAAATTCAATTAACAATATATGTTAAATGATATTCATTGATGTTTATAAAAATCTATATCTTTAATATTTAAGTTGAAGGGGGAAAATTGATTTTTTTCAATTTGCGAAAAATCAGAGTTTTAAACAAAATTCCGACAAATTTTAATAAAATTCAATGGCGCCATTTTTTTTTAAATTTCCCAAGGGTTTTATGTACAGTCCCGGCCAAAATTAAAATATCGGTTTCAAATTAAAGGGGTCGCGTCATCAGCCAAACCGACTTGGGAATATCAATTTTGGAGAAAATCGGTGAAACGGTTTAGCCGCTATTGCTCACAGACGGACAGACGTTCGGCAGTCAATCGTTATCAAGAACCCACGAAAATGGATTCTGTCTATACATGTTAGATATTTTTTTCTAAATTTAGCAATTGGATTTATCAACTTTTTCGTTACCAGGGCCTTGTAATTAGTTTTTCTGACAAAAATTCGCCGTTTTTTCGCGCAGCATTACTCAACTTTCTCTTCTGAAGAAGTTCTTTCTTAAGCGCGAGAAATCCGGTTGCACTTTTCTTCTTCTTTCTTCGAATAGAGAGACAAGTGCGCTTATAAAAATGGAGTACCAGTTCTAAAACGAAAGATCTTAGAATAATGTAAGGTACAATTTTTTCGAGAAAAAAAAAGAAAAGAAAAAAAAATGATAGTTTTTTAGCATGACGACCAACTTAGCATCGAAGCATGGTGGGCAGCAAAGCCAATGCCTCGCGCTAAACAAATGAACCTCGGATTTAGAAACTAACCATTTGAAAGTTTTATTGTGGCTTCAGTTTGAAGTCGACACGGTCTCTGAAGGTGCCTATGCTTTATTTCAATAATTCTTTGTTTTCATATAAATCAGGCTATAATTTGTTCTATTCAAGACCGGCTTCATATTGACAATATATAAATTTAAACGAATTTTAAAGCTAATCTTTTAAGAAATCCAAACATGCTATCAAAGCAAAGACGGGCACCGCCCTTCCAAGAAAATGATAGGTATTCTTGTAGGGGCAACATTTTCTAGAGAACTATGTAGGTTTAGTCATTCCCCAACCATTCTCTAGTTACACAAATACTAAGAAGGAATGTAATAACAACCAGAAAAAATAAGAGGAAGTTACAAAATATACAAGATATGTTATATTCTGTAATGCACACCAGTCACTGTTAATAAATAAAAATATAAATGTAACCAAGATGCAGGAGATCATGAAGTATATCCTATTTTGAAGAAATGTAGGTTTCCAGGAATATTAAGTGTTACCTTCATTTTTGTGACAATACAATAAGCCAAAGTGAAGGTTTTCTTGGTGAAAAAAATTATTGCTTCATAAAAACATGTAACATCTATGTAAATGTATATATTATCACAACAAATCACATACTTGTGCAAATAAACTACAACAGGGGAGAAGTCACTACAATTCTGACTATACAAAATTGTAAATAAATACAAGATAAGAATTGCAATTTGAAAATTAATGGCCATTGTGTATATGTTATCATCATACGCTGCAGCAAAAGTATTTATTGATATTTCTGAATATGAATGGCTTGGCACAATTTTTTTGTCTTGTTAAACAAGGAAGACTCTCCCGTGTAATTGGAAAATTGTGTCACTTGCTGTAGCCATGGTAATTTGAAGGAAGCTATATTATGTGTTTTATTATCAATATACCTCTTTCCATAGTATAACCCACATTTTGATGCCTTTCATTCTCTCATGACATTGCATTCCTTAGTAATTGCAAAAAGTTTGCCCTAGTAACACATGAATAATTTTTGTTTGGAATGCTTCATTGCTTCTTAAGTAAATCATTTGGGGGATACAGATTATATATAATTTCCATTTTAAAAAAATCCAAAACTTTTTTCTTTCATTTAAGGGAAATGTATTTGACAATTACTGTTCCAAACAGCACATACAACCAAACAACAGCCACACCAGTTTTAAAAGAAATAATGTATATACAAAATTCCTTATATAAACATTACAGTTATGACAAATCATTAATCACTTGCAATTTACTGGAACAGGGGTATAAATGTTACCTAAAATTAATGTGGTATAGTACATATATACAGAAGCAACTGTTTATGGCAAAAGCACACATAAGAACATCACTCATTCAGCCAATAAACTTCTACTGATTCTTTACTCCTATACTTGAAGGCAGTTTTACTGAACTACGTAAATATTCTACAACACAATGTAGGAATTTTTTAGTTTATTAAAGCATACAAGTTTGTTGGTGAAGATATTAACGAAAATTATGTTTAACAATTACTAACCATATGATAATGTCCATGATGTTTCATACATCGCAGGGAATATATAAAATTTCTTATTTATGAGAGAGTGTATGTCAGTAATAGAATACTTTAAGTAATCAGCAGGAACATACTTTGGAAGATGTTAAAATTCCTCTGAATTTCAATAATCAATTACATTATAACTTTATATTTCAGTTTTAGAAACTTTATTTTTTATCATAATAACAATCTACAAGATGTAATACTGATTCATGGATGGAAGAAAACCAAAAATATGCGATTCAGAATATCCTGAAAACCATATTTATTGCTATTAATTCAGGTAATATTTTTGGTCAAAATTTTAACACTTGGATGCATAAAGAGACTTGGCGGTCTTTGTAAGATAATAAAACGAAATTCTTCAACTGATTGTCCATTATACCTGCAAGTTATCTTTGTTTTTCAGAAAACTTGCAGAAAAGTTTACTTAGTGTCAAATGAACTTTCATCTAACCTATTATTTCTACAAATACCCAAAATTGTATTTTATCTGAGTAGAAGTTAGCAAGTAGAAGTTCTATAAATAAAAATAACACAATTTTATAGTTTCTTAATGGACAATTGAATAAGTAATTAATCAAGTACTGTACAATTTATTATTTCTTTATGATTGTACACATGAATCCGTTTCACATGAAACATTTCTATTCTGAAAAGTTCATGGAGTCTGACATTTATCAGATAATTCCATGGTTATTCAGCATACATGCGTATCTAACAAATGCACACACATGTAAACACATAGAAATATATCTTGTAAATATTATACATGTTCAAATTACTCACACAACTGAAGTACGTTGCAGTCACAAATTTCAAATTGCACTTCAAATTTTAACATATAATCATCTGGTTATCAGTTATTCAGTGGAATATTAAATTGTTTGGTCTTGTGATGTACAAACTGCAGACAATTCAAGTTTTAAAGCATAGGTTGCTCCACTAACTCAGAATACAAACTTACACTTGTATAAATTGGAACTACATTGTATAGTACCTATGAATCATGTTTCATACTATTGCTTTGTACAAAAAATAAATTGAAATCTAAATAACACATAATAATGCTCACAATTTACAATGTATCACATTACTTACATTTTTTACAGCAGTTAAATAATCTAAGGAATGTTACAAATTTATTGTCAAATGAAGGGAAGGAAGTCTAGAAAACAGGCGAGAAGAGCCAAACGGTATTTTCTTTGCAATGCAGTATCTAAGAATGCATTCGGTAAAGATTTCATCTCAAAAGGAAATTGAAAGACTTGGAAAATAATGCAACATTTTCCAAAGTCATTATTTAATATCTAAAATTCATCTTCAGACTTTATAATTTCCAATTTATTTCAAAAATGGTATTTTTATAGCAATTTATTTTTCATTTTTGAAAAATAATTCAATTTCATTGATTCTGGATTCAGTAAAATATTGCTCATCCCTCTACTATTCCTCATTGTCATGTAACGTTATTGTCTCAAGACTTTCAATTAATTAAAATGAAAATAAAACCATTTCTGATCAGAGAAATCTGATAGTTTCTTCTCTCATTATTTAACTGCTGTGAGGCATGGCACATGCATGATCTAAAGGAAACAAAAAATCAATGAATACATGCTCACATCATGGATGAACTCTTAAAAGAATGTTTCTATGATAAGTTGTTAACAGAAAATATAACAAATTTTATTAAGATTATTTTTCCTCTCAGTGAATTAATTGGTATTAACTAAAAAGCAGTAACAAAAAATTGGAATACCAGTGTTGTACTTTACACTTACTCTTCCATATTCCAGGAATGTAGCACTTTCATAATTTGGACAACAAAAGGAGAAAAACAAAAAACAACTGTAATTATGACTGTAAGATGCATGCCATTAGCATGACACTACATTAATAATTTAAATTTACTCAAAATATTAAGTTACATCCTAGCATGCAAGGGAACTCAACACTAGGTTGGTTCACCAATATAATGAAGACAACTGGTGAATGAATCTGTCCACCAGCTTTAAATTAAATGCATTACATGGATGGCCTAAAGACCACATGTTTGATAGTTCATTTTCAAATAGATTTAGTGACTTTCATGTATCAGTATTAAGTCTTATTTCTTTCTTTCTTTCTTTCTTTCTTTGGAAAGTCATCTTTGCTACCATAAAAAAATCAGAATTAAATGTCAAAATTTCTGGAATAAAAGTGAGAAAAGTTAGAACAAATTGAGGAAATACTCTTATTGATCATTTCTCATCTTTTATGTCTAGCACAAATCATTCTTTTGTTGAAAAATATACACAGTGCAAAATTAAAATACATCAATAATTTTACACATTACTCAAATTAAAGTCGGTTCCAGAGATAGTGAGGCTAGGAAATCAATAGGCTTTCTGACCGACAGAGGTAGTTTGTGGAATCTTGATTTGCAATTTACAAAGTTATGCTGCATATATTTATAAGATTACTTAAACTTTTATGAACTGCATACTATATTTTGTACTCGTTGCTATAGAGATAATTATACATAAATAGGAAGCATTGGACTGCCTTAGTAACTGCCTGGAGGCTGGTTTCTAGTGGGAGCCTCAGTCCTTGTAAGCACAGCATGGTTTGGTATAAATTTGTTGTCATATAAAAATTGTCTTTGTTTCACTTCTTTATATAAACAACAATCTTTGGTTGAAAACACAATTATCACATAGGAAAACACAGAACACAAGAATACTATATGTACAAAAACTATCACTGTCCAACCAATTACTTCTTCTTATGCACTTTTAACATTTGGAAGTCCATTACTGATTCGACATATTTACTGTTCTCTTTTCTAGAACAAAATGAGATCTGTAGAGATTATACATACTTACACATCCACATTCATTACAACTTGTTTTTATACATAATTCACAAAATACATACAGTTCAGAGACCCTAGTACTAAGCAGAACTATAGATTTTCAGTGATGTGACACTAGGAACATCATTATAAACTTTTGCTTTGGCAATCTCTAATATTAATAATAAAGCACTGACATATGTACAGTTTCAATGATGAATGTTCCAGAAAGTTTTTTCTTGAAGGCAGGCATACTATACATTTTCATTCTTTGTCATTGAAATACTGCCATGAAAGCGCAACATCACATTCAATGAAAAATACTATACTTCTGCCAACTTTTAGTCTCTACAATTATTCATAAGTGTAACAGTCATAATCTCTGTGGTTCACATCAATCTGGCAAGCAGGAAGTGTTTTCTGACAGCAGTCACATGGGATAGAGTCATCACAACAGCCAAACTACTAATATAGAAGTTTCAGCCTCTGCACAAAATTATCAGCCAAATCTTTCTTTAACAAGGAACATTAGTTTCTTTTTGCCTTTGTATGCAACTTTCATATTTTCTACAAGCTGCGTGAATTGCGCATGCCCATCATGGGCAAGAATAAATGTGTCTCTTGCTTTGCCTAAGAAATCTATGAAGTCTCCATAGTGTCGAGGGGATATGTGTGTGAGACGCGAATGGGTAGTATTTACATAGGCAGCTACAGCTGCTTCTAAAAGCTGCCTCAGTGGAGGTCTGTCATAAGACAGAGGCTTCATGCCCCCACCACAACGAGTGCTACTTCTATGGTGGTGATGGTGGTGATGGTGATGTTTGCTTCCATCTGCTGTTGGAGGATGTGGACATGAAACACCAGGAGCAGTCATGGAACAGCGTCGTAAGATATCAGAGAGGACTGTAGCACACTGTACATTTTTCACTAGCAGAGGTATCATGCTGGTCAGTTCAGATTTACCAAGAGAATGACTTAGAGCACATGCCCAGTGAATGTCATTTATTGCAGGATGGGTGTCCTAAAAAATAAAGTACAAAGAAATCAAAAAAACGCATTATGAATTTTTGAAATTGAGGCACAAAATTAACATTGACATATAAAAATAAAATAGAAAAAGGCATTAAGTTATAAAATTGCTGCAAATAAGACACACATACCTGATTGTAGGCAAGATGCACATTTTTCATGGCAAGCATGGCTAATTTGTATGCACGAACTGGATATCCTCTGTGTTCCATGTACCGAGCAATTGTAAAGAGTTGAGATGAGGTCATGATATGAGATGCAGCATCAATAACAATTTGATAGGCTGTTTCAAAGGCGAGGGCTTCATTTTCACAAAGGGTCAAAGCATTCAAGGCACAATTGGGAGGATCCTAAAAGAAAAAGAAAGCAAAATAAGTTATTTTGGTTCCGAGTTCAAACAGAGACAACCTTACAAAAATATTCTAATTTACTACTTACTTTGGTGGCACATTGAAGGGCTAAGTTCCTAGCACAGCTAGACAATTCATCCTGTTGAGCAAACGTCAGGTTAAGTCTCATAATTGTGCTATGAGACATAATGGTAGTTGCAACAGGACCTGAAACAAAACCAAATATAGTTAGCTTCATTTTTTAAAATTTAATTGTAATGTATTTTTTCTTTCAGAAGTTTTTGGGAAAAAGAAAATACCTCAAGACACATCTGGAAACTGTGAATAGATTCATAACCAAACAAAAACCAAACTGTGATAGAATACGCACTTTGTTTATTTGTGCCCAAAAAATAATTTAATATTTTAATTAAAAAAAAAAGTTCAAATATCATTTACTGTTTATCTTCTCTTAGTTATTTTACCTAGTTAGCATATTTATTTACTTCATTTCTTCCCGAAAAATTTCATAACATATGCAATATCAGATCACAATATTTTGCCTCTAGAAGTATTCAATTATAAACTACTTTTGTTCATTAAGTGCGGTCTTATTTTTCTACACATTATAATTGTAGGGCTCAGGGGGAGATAGTATTATGCCACTGTAAATTGAAATGCAACATTCTACAAAGCAATAATAAGAACCTGCAAAACTGTAATATTCTGAATTTTTTGATGACATTTCACACTACTTATGGAGATACCAACAGAAAAGCTAAGTGTCATAGATGCTAATATCTCAATTTTCAATATAATATGTAACAGAACTATCTCACCTCAAGCCCTTCAATTTATCTTTGAATTTAGCAATGAAAGAGAAAAGTTTACCTGTGGCCTCAGTAGGGGTAAAAAGTTGATACCAGTTTTGCATGATTGACACTAACGCTTCCACACCAACTTCTGTTGCACAGGTTACCAACCAACGAACCATTTCTCTTCTTCGCCAGTTTAGAGAGGAAAGAGTCATCCTCATAACCTGAAATAAATAAATAATTATATTCCATAGAAGAAGAAGAAGAAAAGAAAAAAGGAAGAAACAATAACAACAACAACAACAACAACAACAACAATAATAATAATAATAATAATAATAATAATAATAATAATAATAATAATAATAATAATAATAATTTCAGGAAATTGTATATTACCTACAGTTGAATATATAATAATATTTATTTTGAGGTAATGATTGCAGCCTTACCTGTAATCCCAATTCAAAGGCTACACTAAGTAATGTAGGATGTCGAGGTCCATTTTCTGGTGTGGCAAATCGAAAGGCATCCTGAGCCAGCTTGAAGAGGTGAGAGGAACTGTGGATATGCCGTTGTGCTGATTCAAGTACAGTCCGTAGTCGTAATACTTCACCTAAGACAATACCAAAGTGAAGGAAGTTTAGAAAAAAAAAATCTTTCATGAAAACAGTGAACAAGGAAATAACCAAGTATATCCAATTTACCTTTAGCAGCACTAAGCATAGTAGAGGCCAAAGCACATTGTTGTGTTTCAATATGCCCCAAAGTAAACCATCTTGGATAACGACTTAAAACAAGGGAAGAAACATTTCCATTCACAGGATCATCAGAATCTTCATGTTCTTCCAGAATAGGCAGTCTGAAATTATAACATTGAAAACATTTTAATGGAATTTGTTCATGATTTATAAACCATTTTGAAAATTGGAAACAAAAATTGTAATTATATCACTGAGTCATAAATATTCACCTCATTGCCCTCAAACCAACTTCATAAGCTAAGTCTGGATAATAGTTGAGGAGAGATAAAAACAAGAATCTAGCAAATGTATGCATGGGAACACTTTCAGGATGTATCCCAATTCCCAATCCACTTGATGGTCCTCCTTCTAATAACACAATTGCTTGTCGTCTCAAAACTGCCACCAGACTATTGTCCAATTCTATTTCCTGCAACTTGGCAATTAAACGATCTTCTTGCTTACATGATTTTTCCTGCAAATAAAAAAATAAAATTTGATTAAGAATAAATATTAATTGTATCTGAAATTCTCAATCATACTTATTCTTGGTAATTCTTACCTGTGCATAAAGACCAGCAGGCATTATTCTTTGCTGCCCAAGACCTATGAGAGCTACTTCAACAGCCAAGGTAAGATATGTTTCTGACCGATCTCTAGATGCAACCACTGGCATGTGATGATAACAAGGTGGCAAAGTAGGACCTGTATCTTCAACTCCGACAGGATCTATAAAACATTTACATACTGAATAATAATCTGTTTTGCAGAAGAGAGTTGACACATTTTCAAGTAGCATGTAACAAATATGTTTTGTACAAAACATTTCTCTGTTTAACTTTGTTTAATTCAAATTGTTAAATTTATCTTTTTTTTGTGACAACTTACCGAAATATGAAGGAGCCCGAGGCGTTTGATCATCAGGAACCAAGGATGCCTCAGCCAAAGTGTCAAAGAGGCATCCAATAGGGTCAAGAGGATGACCTACCCAACCCTCTCCCCAGCTGTTGGTAGCTGGGGGTAAAGGAGGTAAAGGAGGAGGAATGCCAGTGCAACGAGAAGTGCATGGCGTAGCAAGACTGCCAGCAACAGCGTGGCTACTATGGCCACTGCTACTGCCTCTTAGGTGTTGTTGCTGTTGCTGGCTTTCATGCCACCGCCTTTGTGCAATCAATTGCTGCTGCTTCATAGTACGTACAACAGCAACTGCCAATCTCAATGCAGCCAACCTGTGGCCATGGGATCGTAATGCATCAACTCGAGCTGCACATGTTGGTAAGGGCTCTGAGAACATCAAATATTTACAATACAAATTAAAGAAGGATGTATTTAAAATTAGTTTAAAAAAATATGTAGAGGATTCATGTAATATCTTACCATGCCACAAGGGTTGTCCTTGAGAATTGAAGCTTCCACATAACATAGAACTGTCAGGAACATGACTGCAGTAAGTATCACTGGATAGAATATTTTTTAGGTGTAAATTGTCCCAAGACATGCCAACAGCATCCAGAGCTCTAAATAAAGAGAAATGACCATTAAAATAACATAAAACAAAAACAAAAAAACACTATGTGATGAATAATAAATAATGATACTAACCGATGAAATACTGTTCTAGGAATGGCTGATGTTGAAGCTCTGGGGTTATGAGGCCTCTGTGTACCATGTCGGGAGCGGCGGCTATTTTCAAGAGGTCGATGAGGACCACCTCCTCCATCTTCATCCGAGCTACTGTCTGATGAGTCCATTGCATTATGCACCTACAACCACAGGGAATAAAATCTTATAAAATTACAATAATGAGAAAAACACTTGTAAGAATTCTAACAATTGTAATAGAGCTTTTTCAGGAATCAGGGATAAATTAAGAAACAAATAATTATACGATTGCACACTGGAGTTGAAAGTTTGTGAACAAATTCTTACCAAATTCCTATTCATTGGCCCATCTTGTCGCGGCATTTGTTGAGGGCGGAAGTCTGGATCTTCTTGAGGACAAACATCTACTACTGTCCATTTTTCCAAAAGTACCTTCCAATGCTGCTTTTCTTGCAAACTGCAGTGGGGATTCAGTACAATGCAAACCCAGAGAGCTCCTACAACGGAAGAACAATAAATGTCAACTGATAAAAGATAGCACCCTCTTCATTCCCCGCAATAAATAACTATTAACAAACTGAAACACTAATATTTCAATTCAGAAACATCCCAAAATTGTTTGTTTTAATGATTTACAATTTGATTTAACAATAACTTTTATCTTATGTATTTATGAGCTTTATGAAATGACAATTATTTCAAAATAGGAATATTAACATTCTTACCTAACTGATCCCAAAGCTGCCTACATTTATCCGTCATTGGCGTGCCCTGTGTCTTCCACAGAATTAGCCTTGGATCGGAAAGGAACTGTTCAGTGATAAGAGTCAACATTCGGGCTCCGTTTGAATCTCGAGCCCTCAACATTTCTCTCACCTGGCAAACAATTTAAATATTTATATTAATTCATATCTTCTTGTAGAAAGTACAAAATAGTTTTTAATAACATTTATGATAATAACATATTTTGGTAGCATACAAATACAACTTCCTTGTGTGCTGAAATAATGTAAGGTTGCAAGGGTTGCATAACACAAAAACAACTGCAAATTTATCATTTCATTCAAATGGAACTTACTTTGGCAAATAGTGAATTGAGCTGCTTGTTTGCATTGTAGTAGCTTCCTTGGGACAGATAAGATTTAACTTGTTCGCATACTTGCTCTTCATCCAAGTGCCAACTGTGGTCATCATCTGCACTAGCTCCAGCGGTAGGATCAGGAGCACCTGTTTTCAAAGAAATACGATGTGATTGTTAAAATAGTGGTCGAGGATCAAGAAGAAAATAAAATCCAAGTCATAAATTTGATTGCAAAACCCACCATGGAACATGCAAACATAAGGTGCTAACCTGGTATTTGGTTTATTTCCGAGCGTTGAAGGAGGATTTCGTCTGCTAGCTTCTGCGCTGTGGGCAACACTTCCGTGTGGTGTTCAGATATGAGATACTGAATGAACTTCTGCAGTTGCTGCCTGTCCATCTGAAGAAGAGTTTCTGCAAAGACCAACAAAATAGTTTTAGTCAAAATGCAACTATAGGAAGTACAGGCCCCGCTCCCCCCAAAAATTCAAACTTTGAATCAAATTATAGGCATAATGTGACTCTCGAAGATTTTTCGACAATATTTTCAATACAAGCAAGAAGATAAAAAATGTATTAAGTTATTGAAAAGGAGTCATTAATGAGACATCAGGAAATAAACTTAAACAGAATAAATGATCTTTCCATAACCAATATTGCTCATTCTCTACGATATTTCATTAGGGGCAGAGTAAAAAAAGGGTAGTGGATGTTTTCTGACAAAGCGAAAGCTTTATTTCTTCTTTCCAGTATTTAAATCGAGGATGACCGACAAAATGTGCTCGGCGCAAAACACGCCGAGAAGCGACTCCAGAACCAAACTTTACCTCCCACGCATTCCACGACGCGCGTGTACCTGCGCGCGCTATTACGCGCCAATCCCAACCGCCGGACACGACTGTGAGCGCCACCTATGTAGATTATCGACAATCATTTACACCTATTACGCAACCCGTTTGATATCTTCCTCCTACGACATTATTAATTGCTTTCACGCAGCGGGCGCGCGAGGCGGGGACCGGCGGGGCGTGGGCGGGGGCGATGGGCGGTCTCTTAAAGCAGAAAGGCGAGTCGAGGCGCGGCGGCGCGCGGGCGGCGCGCGGCGCGCGCGGGCGGCCCGTGGGCGCCGCGCGCCGCCGCGCTGCGTCCCTTTAAGTGGGGGGAGAGAGCACCGCGTTTTTAGCGCCAGCGATCGATAGAATTAAACACCCCTCGCACGGAGGGCGTCGAGCCGGGTTGGGCGCGGAGCGGGGCGGGGGCGAGTCCCCGCCCTCCACCTCGCCCCTTGCCCCGCCCCCGCGTCCTCGGGCCTTCATATGCTCTTGAAGAATGCAGCGCGAACGGCGTGCGCCGCGCACGAGAGAATAGTAAGCAGGAAGCCTCGCAGCGACGCCCTTCCCTTTTCATCAAACCGGTAGTAAGGGAAATGAGAAATGTTTGGGGCCCAACCCTTCCATTTGGGGGAAGGCAGTGGGGGACGACCCTGGAGCCGAGTGCGGGCGGGCAGGACGGACGGACGGCGCAGGTACACCCCGCTATTATTACCCCGAGAGCGCCGGTGAGGCGCGCGCGGTCTGGTGGCGATGCGAGGCGGCGCAAGATCCAGTGCGGGAGTAATCAACAAGTTCCTGAGCCAGTCGCGATCAGCCACTGGGTTTTCGTGTAATTTATTTCCAAAACGGAAATTAAGATATGTGGTTTTCGCCGCTAAGTCAACACGTCGCGACCAGTCGTTCCATTTATTGGATCATTAGAAAAAGGATCGAATGGGATCTTTAGGGTCTTTGTGATGTGACTTTCGAATGTAATGATAACAAAATGGATATATGATATTTACGCAGGCTCAAAGATTGTCAATTACTACTCATAATAGAGCAGCTTAATAGTGCCTTCGTGAGGTTGAATATTAAAAGAATTCATAATGAGTTTGAAAGAAATATTCTGGTAATTCTCCCAAATAATACATTAATGTGTAAAACTAAAAATGTTAAAATATACAAACTGAAATCTCTTGCAAATATTTTGACGGAGCATTCTTTCATTATGCTCCGTCAAAACGGCGTGAACCGCGACGTCATATGCAAGCGCATAATCACACTCTTAGAACGCGGGGGGAGTAGGAGATTTTGCCACTGATGCACATGTGATTAAATGTTCAAACATTACGGGTGAATTATTTGTAAGTGTGCATTTCTATTGACGTTGGTCTGTTTTTGTTCAGAAATCTAATTATGGCATTCAAAAACTTATTACAATTATTTAAATAATGCATGAATTTTAATCAATATTATATTCTATCTGAAATTTACACTGCAGCATCACATGAAAGGTTATTTAATTACTTTTACAATTTTATACAGCGAGTCAAATGTGCAATTTATATTTTCAGTCAGTGCGCGGAAAAAGACTACGAGGGAACTTTCTACTCATTCCGATGATCCATTTGATGGCATTTTAATGAAGAGAAATACTTCCAAGCACTTTCTCAGAGGTACATACGATGTATTATGTGCTTACGTGCTTGGTGCAGATAGATCAAGTTTTTCAATGTTATTTTCTTGTCGAACCGAAGAGAAAATCACCGATACAGCTCAGCCTACGACATCAAGGTAGAGACAGCATTAGCAAAGAACAACGAGGAAAGGCTACCGAGGCAACGTTGCCGTAAAAGTCACTTGCAAAAGCAGCAACCCTTTCACCGAAGCTCTTTGTATTCCGTGTCTAAAAGGACGCTTCTAAATAACTTACACTCGCTCTCCGCCCCCTGTTTGCCGGCGCTGACGCTCTCCGCGTTTGATTTTGCCTAATCGAGTAACGTGAAGGGCAGCGCCCGGAAATGATTTTTAAAAGCCGCGCTAAGTGCGTCGCAGGTTTTCAGAGGGCGTCGAGCGAAGGTCCGTTCACTGCGTGGGGGCGCGAATGGGTCGCCGATGGGATACGAACGAGAAGGCAGAGGGATGCGAACACGGAGTGAGAGGAACACGAGAGGAGGGTTAATAAGGAACGAGAATGAAAGAGCGAACAGGAAATCAACAAGGACTGCAAAATGAATAGTAGCATAGCTCGTGGGAATGAGTTTAGTATTACTAAACAAAAACCTTGAAATAACTTTCGCTTTTAAAGGCACAAAAATAACTATTGCCTACTCACGGTCACAGAGCCAAAACATCCTGATCAAAAATTTCAGCACTGATTAAATTTCAAGAACACACACACACACGTAGTTTCAGAAAATGTTACATGTCAACATGAAAAAACGTACACAAGGCGCAGACTTTGAACTAGCTGGTAGAAGGTTGCTGTTCCTGATGACTCGGTAGGGGACACTTCGCCTGGGCTAAGAAAGGAGGCGCCGCCTTGATTAAACTGGACGAGGACAGTGCTGGGTGATGAAGCGGGAGCGGCGTTGAAGAAGGTAGCGAAGGCGATTGCGCGGAGATGGCGATGTGAAATAGAACAGGAGCAGGACAGAACAGGCTAATGAGGAGGTGGCGGGGACAGGAGTGATTTTCGGGGCGGAGACCTGGATTTTGGTGGTGGTGTGCTGGTGGTGAGAGTGTGAATGGCGGGGCGGGAGCGTGGAAAATGCGATGGTGAAGCCGCGGCGTAGCAGTGATGTCGGTGATAGGGCGGAGGGACAGGGTCTTGCAGCCAGGAGGCGAGGGCGTGGGAAAGCGGGGGAGAGGGGGGGGGGACACGAGCCAGCGGTCGTCGTCCTACGCCCTAAGGCTTCCAATCAATTACAACGTGGGGCCTCCGCCGCCGGCGCTATTGGAGAGATCAAAGCACGACCCGGCGCCGAACCCTCCGCCTCCCGCGTTGAGCTTGCCCGTGACGATCCCCGGCAGCCCCCCTTTGGCTTCGCCGCTCCCCGCTGCACCAGCGCTCCCTGAGATAACAAGCGGCGCACCGCAAGTCTCTTCTCCTTTGCAGACGGATGTAACGAAGAACTTTTAGAAATTCTTTTCTCGCTTTGACAAGCGACTGGGATATATCATGAGAAGGAATTTGTTTACGTCGGAAAATGTTGAACGTAAATATAAGTCGCATGCGAGTGCAAAAATTGATTTAAGTTGCGCGACGCGTACAACATAAAGTTGAAGGAACATAAAATTAATAATACCTATTTTAGGCATTTTGTAAAAATAAACTCGTTTTTTTTGTAGAAGGACTCATTACACTCACGAAACGAAGGAACAATTCATGATGATGAACTGAATCGCGAGGAAACGTGATCGCAAAGAAGGAAGAAAGCGTAAGAGATTTATTGATCGGGAAATCCTATGAGCATATTCCTGCTGTGCATTACGTGACGTCACACGATCCTTCGAACACGTTATTCACGCGCTTCGCGGACCTGGAGCGCGAGCGATGACGTCGCACCGGCCTGCTTTTGGCCAGGCCAGCGGATCCCGGAGGGCACCTCTGGGGGGAAAAACAACTCACGTTCCATTCGCTCGCTTGCTTGCAGAAGCGCGTGGGTGCGGGCAAATCCGATGTTTGAGGTTAGAATTTCTGCGGCAGGGCTCAGGCTCCCGTCGCCGGCCGGCATGAGGACGATCCGCCCCGCCCACGCGACCGCCGACGAGCGGGAATCCCGCCCATCACTTCTCGCGGACGGCGCTCCTAGGACGACGGCGGAGGCACCGTGGCGCAACCCCCCTCTCCTCTCTTTTGACATTTTCGCAAACGCAATGCTTTACTGCTGTTACTCGCTGTTGTTGGATGAGTTCATTTTGAAGTGTGGTGGCAACGTGTCAAGAGGGGGTGGTGTGTGCGTCTTGGCATAAGTGTGTGTGTACGTGTGTGTTGGGCGCGTGTACGTGTGTGTTGGGCGCGTGTACGTGTGTGTTGGGCGGCGTGTACGTGTGTGTTGGGCGCGTGTACGTGTGTGTTGGGCGCGTGTACGTGTGTGTTGGGCGCGTGTACGCGTGTGTTGGGAGTGTGTGTGTGTTGGGCGCGCGTGAGTGTGTGTGTGTGTGTGTGGTTGTGTTGGGCGCGCGCGCGCGTGTGTGTGTTGGGCGTGTGTGTTTGTGTGTGTTGTTGGGCGTGTTCATGTGTGTGTTGGGCGTGTGTGTGTGTGTGTGTGTGGCGTAAGTGTGTGTGTGTGGCGTGTTGCGGTAAGGGGTATGTGTGTGTGGCGTATGTGTGTGTGGCGTTAATGTGTGTGTGTATGTGTGTTGGGCGTAAGTGTGTGTGTGTGTGTGTGTGTGTGTGTGCGCGCGCGCGCCTGCGTGTGTATTGGGTACTGCATTGAGTTCATAGTTATATAGTTACGAGGTACGGACGCTTGTGACACGGAATGTAGTGGCTCTGTTGCAAACAGGTTTGATAAGATACAAATAATTTAATGGGCTTAACTGCTTCCTTCATAAAATTATTTCTTTTCATAAGAAACCCAAACAACCCTAAGAAGTAATATAAGGGACCTGAAAACTTGCTGCAAATAATAATTAAGTCACCGTCATTCATAATGCAACGGGTGCACTTGCAAGGGCAGAGCTAGACAAACGGTTGCGCAAATGGCATTGCCAGTACACTCCGACGCGAACGAGAACAATCACAACCACAACCCCTTTGCAGTGCGACAGGTGACAGTCGGCGCGTCACGCTTCCGCTGGCGCTCGTGATAACAGCGCGTCGCCGCACGCGGCGTCACCTCGGCGGCGAGCGCCGGGGGCGTGCCCTCGGCGTCACTGCCGCCTCCGGCAGCGCACGTCACACGGCGTGACGTCAGGTCGGCGGCCGCTCCCCACTTTATCAGCTGGCCCCAAGGCCGCTCCGCCGCCGCCGCCGCCGCCATTCAGTAATTCAGCGAGAGACGCTCACGGCGGCGGG